AGCATTGAACTGTCGAAGAATTGAGCAACCACAGGTGCAACGATCCATGCGACCATGGAAATCGCACAGATAAAGGTCCTTACCTTACCTTTAACTGTGACCGCGTAATAACACGGTGATTATGAAATTGTAGGTTAAGATCGCTTTCTATTCTTTTTTTTCCGGCCTCGAATAACCCAGCGAGCCCACTGAACAATTTTTCACGGACTCGTGCAACAGCCGGACTGAATTTTCCACAACGTTCGGTGCATCGATCAATGAACGTATTCCGATAAAATAACATTCCTCCGTATCGGATATTAGCGCACGGTACGAGGAGCGAAGGTTTTCGCAGCGGGTGCGAAATTTTGCCTAGTTTCACCCAGAATCCTGGAACCGATAGTCGAATACCGAGTTGTACAAACAATCGATAGGTTCGTATACGAGCTCTAAAACTCTGCGTTCGGGTGAAGCCACCTTTGGTTATTTGCCCACGGATCTTTGGTAAATAACAGGCCATTTCCTAGTGATAAAATTTCTCCTATTTATAGAGTGATTGCCGATGGAAGCAGCAGCTCACAAAGTGTTCCATTTAACCGTGCTACTTTATCTTCGACGTGATTGACGATACGAACAAAATAAATAGAAAAAAAGGGAGGCAAATTTTATCGGGACATCGACCCAATTGCAAATACGTCAATTCTGACCAGGACACCCTGTACAATCGTACGGTATAGGTGTATACTTCCTTTTTAGGAAATTATCGAAATTATCCGCCTGGAGGGTGCAATTTAAACGACACTCAGACGCGATCATCCTTGGTGAATTGGTTCGCTAGGCCGTTCAGACGAAACGCTATGCATCTTTCAAGCATCTGTGCAACGAGCGTTCTCAAAGTTCCGCTAGCCGGGCACACACAGCTCGGAGGAGAGACCTACGGAATCGTCCGACAAATTCTCTCCAAGCCAGCTTGCACACACTTGTACACGCGTTCGACGGAAAAACGTGTCCACGATTGAAACCGGTTTAAATATTACGCTAACCGGTGGCGAACGAAGAAAACAATTAGCTGGAATTACGAAGAGCGTAAACGCGATCTCTTGCATCGGTGGAGCGCTAGATAACAGGTGCCGTGTGCCATGGCTAAGCCGGGAAGAGACATTAAGCATGAGTCATTAAAATGCTGAAATCGTAACGTGAAATAAACGAGCCGACGTCGCTTCGTTACATCATACGCCGATTCTATTAACGTTGCCGATTACCAGCTCGATTAATTTCCCTCGACGATCCATCCAGAATCGACCAACGGTAAAGAAGCGAGAGAAAAAAAGGGAACGAGGAGCTCGTGTTCCCTATTTCAAAGTAATTTTCATTGGGATTACGTCAACGTAGTGGTAATGGCGCGTTACAGAGTGTGACAAGAAAGTGACGAGATTGAAAAATTTGTATTTTTCTTTAAGTAGGTTAGTCTCTTGTCACATTGTGTTACGAGCTCGTTGGCCACCGCGGTGAAACGTTTACGCCTAGCCAGTCCGGTCTTCGAAGCGAGGCCGAATCGTCACGATAAACGTCTGAAATCTAACGACATGCGCATGATTCGAGAAACAGAATACTTTCTATTTAAACGACACCGATCCGCCGAACACGAGGAACGGGGACACCGCCTGTAAGCTGGGACGATAAATGGAGCCGTGTGAATAAGCCACGGATCGAGCGTGCAATTCGTCACAGGTGACGAGCACCGGCTTAAGCGAAACTCCTCTCAGATTCCACGATAATTTGCCGCAATTCTACGTGTATTAAACATCGATCCGAGAGGGAAGCCGGAAATCCACCATTTTCACATTTTCCTGCATTCCTAACCTCCCAATCTCGAAACAAAATTCTACGGCCGTAGAGTTGGAGAATTGATAAAAATTCGTTAGAACGTACGGGAGTCTGGAGTTCCACTCGGACTTCGAAGGTTAACCCTTTCGCTGCGGCAGATTTGAATACGTAACGCGCGTGGCAGTTCTTGTAATACCTGAAATAATACAATAACGAACCGATAGTGGCTACACCTTCTGCCACAGTCGTATAAGAGCAGCTCTAATAGTGTCCAAGATTCCTCTCAAGACGATCGTATAGACGGTTTCAATTGAAATACGCACGAACGGGTAATCTGCGCAATTACCTAACATGCAAATAAAGCCCCGTGAAGATGAACGGTGACCCGTACAGCTGACGTCACGCGTCGCTACACGAGGATGCCGTGCAAGAAACGACATTGCACGTCCCTAGGCTCGCGTCTTCGAATCTCGTTCCAACGAGAAAAACACCGTTTCGCACGCCACTGGGGCCTATCTCCCATTCTCTCTCTGATTGAAAATGTATCGATTAACCACTTGCTATATTTAGCTATCGTCGTTTAATCTCACGCGGTTTCCACTCCACTTGTCTACCAAAATTACTTCAAGTGCATCGGGTGATAGAGATTAGCTTTCAGGTTAATTCGTTTCTTAATTTCGTATTTTTTTTTTAATCGAGAATTTGCCAGCGAGAATAAGTAATTAACTGGTTTCACTCGGTTAAGGAGAGAAAAGAAACTTCGTTTCAAAGTCACGTGCGCATTTGCATCCCGTATTTTTACAGCGTTGAAACGGTGAAGCGCGCAGGAAAGTGAACGGCCATGAGGCATAGAATCCCTTTAAATCGCGAACGGATGACGAGCGTTTGGCACAGGGGCTGCTATTGCTGCAGGAAGGAAAAACCGGTCCGTGTAACCATTCCTAACTGCGAATGCAAATAAGAGGATCGTCAGCGAACAACGTTCCACGTTCCGGACGAATGAAAAGCAGAACAGTCGAAACTTCACACCTGTAACGTCGATCCACACTGCCACGAGACACTCGTGCCAACTATCTGCTACGTTCGAATCCTTGAGAACGAACACACTCGCGAGAACCTATGCGAGATATTTTGAGGAGACTTCGTTTCGAAATATTCCACTAACCCGGCCTCCAATTCTAGCTGTCTAGACGTACAATTCCGCGTTCGTGTACGCGTCCGCTGTTCGTTTCTTAAGAGTTAACAGACGTAAGATTGTTAGGTTAGAATTGGAAATTCAAAAGCGACGTTCCAATACGTTCCTCTCGATTGAAAAGGAAGATGCGAGGTAAATGTGGATGTTGGAACAGGAATTCCGAATGACAGAGTTAAAGGAACGTTGAACGGCAGAAAAAGAAGTAATGGCTTATTAAGTGGCAAATACCTGACAGATAGGAGAATGTCGAGTATTCGGGGATGACACGAGAAACCGGTCGATAACTTGTTATGAAAGACGGAACTGCAAATACAAATAAGCCGTGTGGTTGCCAGACGAAGCATTCGAAAAAAATGTAATTCTGGTTATGTCTGGTGGCACCACTCAACATGCCACGAAACGTTCGTTTCACTCCAGACTAGAAATGTTTAATTGAACAAGTGGAAGGACCACCGGGACATTTCCAGACATCTAGGTATATCCGGATTTTGACGCGTACGCCATGCAAAATGTCAGTTACGTGTCTGTCCAATTTCCTCGAGAATCAGACACAACCTTCCGTCGAAAAGTCGCTCGATTACATTCAGTTATCCAACGTTTCGATATATTTTTTCGCGAAAAAAATAACACCAACAACGTCGAATCTCGTTCTGTCGGAAAACCAAGTGCGATAAACCAGGCACGTTTCGAACGGTGTACAAACAGGTTTCGCGAGGTTTGTTTCGGCAACCAGCCGGACGAGATCGTAGGTTGTGAGTCGAAAATTGAGAGTACGTGGAAAAAAAGGATAGTATCGGTCATCGGATTTCGAAAAGAAAAAGCAAAGAACGGTGTATAGAGTGAGGCGCGGTCGATAGGGACTCGAGTGTCCGTCGCGAGATCGGGGCAGACTCGTTTGGAGGAATTCCAATTCTCTCGTATATTAATGTTTGACAGGATCCCGGAAAAAGCTTGGTTCGCCGACCAGAAGGTATTTCGAAAGCTAGTGTACGTTGTTACGGGGGAGTAAAATGGCAACAGCGAAGGTATTATCGATTTTATCAACGGGGGCTAGGGGATTCTTTCTCTCGTATGCACGGGGTGAGTCAGAAAGGGTTTGCATAGCGGCGCATCGTGAAAAGCTGTCTACTCACCTTCAGATAACTCGAGATCCAGCTCAGCAAGTTTCTCCCGCACGTCCTCTGGGAGCTTGCCGATGTCGATGTTGAACTCGGCCATCACTAGGCCATCCGCGCTGCGCCGAGATCACCAATTCTCCAGCCGTACATTCCACGACCCGTCACCACCGCTCGGCCATCTTGCCTTACACTGATGTGTCTAACTGCCGTCAGCTGGCGACACTGTTCGATTCGACACCTATCGGGATAAACAGTTGATTCACAATTGGCGATTACTTTGCCTTGCACGATAGTGCATTATATTACAATTTATATAGCAGGGAGACGTAATTAAAAATCAACCGTTTTTAATGCGATATCTTCTTTTACGTCTGTAGAATAAATGTTCTTGATATCACGTTACGAAACTGCGCATGAACCTTGTATCGATGATACTTTTCCCTGAATATTATTTAATTGTGTGGCAAAATATGCTGACGTTTAGAATACAAGTTAACGCAGTGTTTCTAACATAGATAACCATATTTTATTTATTAATCTGTATAAAAATGTAACAACCATGTTGTAATATATTTGTTTAATTTCCAAACATAATCTATCAGAGTAGTTGCACTTATTTAAATACTCTACCGCGCATTATGTAGTTTCCTTTTTATCGTCATTTAGCGTTACTCGCGATAAATTCGTCGTACATTTGTTCGATTAAATACTCTGACGTATTTATTCTCTTAAACTGAAGGTTTCTCTTAATATTGCAATAATGTTAAAAAAAACAAAGTACGAGAATGACATTTCTCGTACGATCTTATCTTCCGAGTAACGGTTCTTTTTACGCGGGATGATTTCGTAGTTTCCAGCCATCGTATAAACTAACCTCCAGTGCCTGAGAATTTAACGATGTATATGTAAAAATAATTAGAATTTTCCCAGTGTTTATGACAACATGGAAATACTAGAAGACCCAGTGTTTAAAACAAAATATCAGAAATACAAGATTCGTGTTAAATTATGGGAAAGTCAATTTACGGAAAAACATGGACGTAAGCCAAATAAGGTAATTTACGTACTTTTTAATATTCATGACTTAGAATAAATTAGATTAAAATTGTTTTGTCATTATTTAGTTTTAATGAGAATTTCTCAATTTCCTTTCGGTATTTTGTGAAATTATGCGATTTATTTTAGCCAAGTTTTATCAAAAATACGAATTCTATTTTTAAACAATTTCTGTACAAACTTTTAAAACTAATTGCCTCCTATTATAATATAAATAATCCTTTATAATTTTAGAATGATATTAAAGAGGCTGATATAAAAATTAAGCAATCTTATAAAATGTATTGGAAACTGAAAACACGTGCTTTGGAAGAAACACTTACAGATATTACATTTTCTGATGAGATAGAAGATAATGTCTCTGATAAAACTGGGATGGACATATCAGTTGAAGAAATGAAAGTTGACGATACATCCTTAAGGGATGAAAATAAAGAAATTTTAGAAAATATGCGTAAAGAAGATAAACTGGACACAGGGAACACAGATAAGAAAGATGTAGAAAACACAAATGAAAAGGGTACAGAAAACATAGATAAGAAGGATACTGAAAATATAGATCCACAAGGACATCAAAGTCAATCTACTACTCCTGATGCAACAGTAAATGAAAATAAGTGTAAAAATGTAAAAGGTGTATGGGGTGATCATTTAAGTAAAACCAATGAAGAAATACTCAAAAAGAAAAAATCAATACCCATAAGTAGATCATCTTCATTTCAATTGTCACAAAACAAATTTACAAGTTCAGTCTTTACAAAAAGGAACCCTAGGAAATCTTTATCTCAGACAAAAATAAAAAGTAGGTCTGAAAAAGACATTAGTAGTAGTACAAGTACATCAGAGCAAACCACAAATTCAGAATTAAATAATAAAGATGGCTTTGATGTGAATGAAGAAGCAAAAGCTATATTTGGTGAACCAGTAAAAGTAACTTACATAGAATCTAAGGTTGCCACTCAATCAATTAACACTGTACAGCAATTAATTGAAGGACATACTGTTAATAGAAATTTGAATCCAGGATGGCTAAATAGATGTGCCAAACAAAGTAACTTGGAATATCCAGCATTTGATTCACAGAGGCTTTCTGGAACATGCGATTCTGGAATTGAATCAATGGAGTCCATCACTCAATCACCTACAGATAATGTGTCAGTCTCTGAACCACTTAAACTTCCTTTAATATCAGATGAAGAAGACTTTGTTTGTAACAGTGATACAGAAGAAGAACATAGAAAAAAACGTATTAGAAACTTCAGGAAAAGATTCAGTGACCAAGAAAATCAATCTTGTAAAAGACTGTGTACTGATAATAGTATAAGTACTCCAATACCAAGTAAAATGGATGTGCAAACAATGCATTCTATTAAAAATATTAGTCCAGTTTCCAGTGAAGAAAAGTCTAACAACTTAAACATTACCAATATAGCTGCAGTTAAAATTAATAGTAATGTAGTATGTAATAATGTAAATATTAAGACAAATTTAGCAGATAATATTGACAAATGCAATGACAACATGGGAGATATGCCACAAACTGTGAATACAATGATGAATAATGAAGAAGATATAGAAATATCATCCAAAGGAAGACCAGAAAATCGTCGCAAAGTTCGAAGGCGAATTAAGCGTGTTTCATCTGATGATTCTGATTTCAATGAAAGTGATACACAAGAAAAAGAAAGTAAAACGAAAAAAATCAAAACAACACGGGTGAGTTCAACGAGGAAGAATAAAGCTACTAAAGAATCACGTGTAAAGACTGAGAAAAAAAGAGAAGTTAAAACCAGAAGACCTAGGAAGAAAAAGGATCTACAAGATGATGAAGATATCTTAAACACTGGTACCACAGATCAAGAAACTGCAGAAGATAAGGGATCAGTAATATATGGAATAGAAACCTTACAAGCTGTTCCACGGTTTGCAATGAGCAAATATAATCAAGGAGATCTTATTGAACAATGTGCTAAATCTGTTTGCTCAACAACAGATGATTTATGTACTTCTGATGTAGGCTTAAAACCAAAAGGAAAATTGACAGAGAAAGAAAAATTGGAGAAGAAGGTAGCGGATGGAAAAGTAAATGAAAACTTTGTTAGGATAAATCTAAAGAGGAAAATATTTGTACGTGGTAAAAAACACTTCAACTTTTCGAAATATAAAAAAAATCAATGGAAACAAAGGAAAAAAGATCTCGGTTCCAGTGAAGGTAGTTTAATGGTAGCTGACTTTATTGAAAAGAATAGTACAGCAACTTGCTTTAAATGTGGAGAAGCTGGTCATTTCTCAAGAAGATGTCCAAATGCAAAGGGTGACGATTTAATATCGTTGAACGAGATAGATGAAAGTTCAGAATTCCCAACTTTAGAAGAAGCACAGGAAATGGCCAGTCAAAAGGCAATTACAGCTCATGCTAATAGAATTAACCGTTTGCCGGAGAAACCATCGTACAGTTCTAAAACAGATATTGAATCAGCAGAACGTGAAACCGAGGATAAGACTGACGATAACGATTTATGGGAACCTATTGAAAATGAAGTGAGTATATACATAATTATGTTGTTGTTTTATAATTCTTTAATTGTTATCGTACATTTTATTAAATTTTTAGGAAATTTTATGCGGACATAAGATACCCAAAGATCTAGTACAAAAATTATTACCACCGCAAATTGATACAGTTCAAAGACTGTACGAACTTAAGGAAGATCAGTCATGTATAGGTAATTCGCTTAATATTTTACGAAATACATTGACTGATTTGTAAATTAATGAAATACCATAATTGCTGCAGACACACCAGCTGAAGTTTATGCAGCATTAAGGCAATTTGGTCATGAAGCATTCAGATTTGGACAAGAAAAAGTTATAATGAGAATACTCTCTGGTTTATCGACTTTGGTAACTTTATCCACAGGTTCTGGAAAATCTTTGTGCTATCAGTTACCTGCATATCTCTATTCTAAGTACTCCAAGTGTATCACCTTAGTTATATCACCATTGGTATCCTTAATGGATGATCAAGTAACGGGTGTACCATCGTGTTTGTCTGCATGTTGCCTACATACTGGCCAAACACCAAAAGTAAGGGATAATGTTATGCAAATGGTGAAACAGGGAAAAGTAGATATTTTACTAATTTCACCAGAAGCTGTAGTTGCTGGGGAAAAATCTACCTTTGGTTCTTTATTGAGGCAGCTCCCATCAATTGCTTTTGCATGTATAGACGAGGCTCATTGTATTTCACAATGGTCTCATAATTTCCGTCCGTCCTATCTCATGGTTTGTCGAGTTCTTAAAGAAAAATTAGGTGTTAAAACGGTGTTAGCTCTTACAGCTACTGCAACAAAAGCTACCGCGGAAAGCATAATAAATCATGTAGGTATACCCGACGGAATGGAGGGTGTTATCTCTGACATTCCATTGCCTAGAAATCTGTTGTTAACAGTTTCGAAGGATGAGTATAGAGATCAAGCTTTAATACAATTATTACAAAGTGAAAGATTCCAAGAATGTAATTCGGTTATTGTTTATTGCACTCTTCATTTTGAAAATTTCATTACATTGACAGCGTAACAATTTCATACATTCTGTTTTATTATAGGATGTAAATAATCCTGACAAAGTTAACAGTAAATTATCTTCTACCGCGGAAGCGTATCATGCTGGTTTATCAGCTCATCGCCGAAAAATTGTACAGAAAGCATTTATGAATGGGCAAACCAGAATTGTTGTTGCCACGGTAGCTTTTGGTATGGGTCTTAATAAGCCGGATATTCGTGCTGTTATTCATTATAATATGCCTGATTGTCATTTGTTCATAAGTCCAAGGGTATTTAAATTTAGTTCAAATAGTTATATTTTTGCATACTTTATCCATATTATGTTCCTACAAAATGTTTTTTCCTCCACAGGAAGATAATGATAAATGGGAATTGCGCCGACATATTTATGCAAATGGAGTAGATAGGCATGTAATTAGGCGTTTACTTCAAAAAATTTTTGTTCCATGTTCATGCTCAAAGATCCGTGAGAAAAATGCAAACTATAGATGTCCTGGTCACGAAGTTGCTATACCAGTTGATGAAACGGTTGCAGCTCTAGATGTTCCAGAGGAAATAATTTCCACTCTATTATGCTACCTCGAATTACATCCTAAAAGGTTCATTACTGTTCTTTCATCAGTATACGCCAGGGCTAGAGTTTCAAGTTATGCTGGGCCTCAAGCGTTGAAACAAGCTGCTCAATCGGTGAGTATGTGCAATATATATTTCTAAGTAAATAGACTTCTTTTTATCCAATATTGAAAATATTTCATCAATTTTTCAGTCACCGCCGCTTGCAATGGCTATAGCATTGGATTTACAAAAGGGTATTTCTCATGAAAATGATAACATTATTGAATTCCCCGTCGTAGATGTAGCATCTGCTATTGGTTGGGATAGCGGCGTAGTAAAAAATCATCTTAAAAATTTAGAATGGAAAACAGGTATGTTTCGATGAATAAATAGGTAACACTTTTATAAAAATAAGCTTATATTTCATTTTTATTTTTCCTTCAGTTAACGGAACTTCAAAGCGTTCAGCTATTTCAGTGCGATACGATCAACTTGGCTTTAGAGTGCAGGCTCCTGGAGATCTAACGGATGAGGAATTAGACGAAGCACTCGACGCTTTACACAAACGTACTCAAGACCAAGAAATTGCCGCTTTGCAGCAACTTGAAACAATTGGTGTAACTCTCCATAAATTCGGTGCCACAACTGTGAAACAGTGTCTAACACTGAATGATGAAATGACCAACAAATCTGATCAATTAAAAGACGATATTCGAAGTTACTTTACCGGAAAAATTCTCTTAGATATGGACTCTAAACGGCAGGTGCGAGATACTGCATAATATTAAATACTCATGTTCTTAAATGAAATCGCATTATCTTTCGTAAATATTATGGAAATGTATTGTACACATTCTTTGTATTTTTTTTCTCAGGGTGAAGGAAGAAACGACGCAGAAATAGCCAGTGATGTACGCAACTTGATTATGAGTTACCGAGATAATAATTTTACTGGACGTGCAGTTGCTCGTATCTTTCATGGTATACAAAGTCCAAATTATCCTGCTTATGTTTGGCACAAATGCCGTTTCTGGAGGGCTCATCTCTCATTTGACTTCAGTGTTTTGTGTCAAATTGCAACCAGAGAAATTTTAGCTTCACGTTAGAGTGATCATTCCCAGTATTTTTAAATGAAACTTTTAACAGACTCCCTAACGTCGGAATGCTACAACAGCAGTTCTTAAATGTTAGACATTATGGATATTTGAACGTTATGTGATTATAGTATAAGAATGCTTGCCCTGAGTAGCATTTGAAAGACGTATTATAGGATAGTGCTACAAGTTATATTTGCAGATTCTAACAATGTTCAACATATATTGACTGAGTAATTTTATTAAGAAAAACAAACGAAACAATATTAAAAGTTATATAACACTTTATTGTTTCAATAACAAGTGACAGAATTCATATAGGTCGTAGTATGCGAAATATTTACTTGAAAGTGCCTTAAAAGAGACTTATTTTTTTACGTTTATAGAATAAACTTTAAAATAAATATTTTTTTTTTAACGATAACTGTTTCCTTCTATCGTTGATGTAATTTTAATGTGTAACAATAATAATTATAAATTTATATTGTTGCATTATCATTGTTAGTAATACATATATCCCCAATATAAAACTTTTTTCCTGCACCACTGCTATTCTTGATCTCTTCCACTTTTTCGTTAGTAAATTCGATTAACTTAGAACGGCAAAATCTAAATTAATAGAAATCACGAGTGTAACTTGTAATTGTTACTTCCTCAATACTACAATATATTTAATACGATATGTTTTCATCGAGGCAGCATGGAACAATGCTGGGCCCGTGAAATATTTTCTTCAGTATTTCAAGCAATTAACAAGTTCAATGAATAATCGCAACGCTTTTCCGATAACGATAAGTTGTTCATGTTACCACTCTCTTCATGTAATTGCACTGTCGTAGAAATTTGTGCATACGTATCTGTTGCATTTTGCCAACGCGGTTCATACACGTTTCATTCTGGCAAAGTGCACAAAATTCGGACGATATCGCGTGGAACGGAGAACGGAAGTAAACGTTGGCATTTTTCAATGCCTTGTTCTTGTGGTGAGCCCAAACGTGTAACGACACCTCGAGAAACATCAACACAGGCAAACACCAGCGGCAACATAAAATAGCGAGGAAGAATAAACAAACTGGATTTATCTGGCCAAAGGATGATCCAACAGGAACTGGTTCCAATTCCATTAGGTTCTCACTCTTTTTCAAGGAACCATCCTTAGCTGACAATGTTTCCTTGACTTCCTTCGGAATCTGCACAATTTTTATTTGTAAATTTTATTGTTAAACCCAATAAATTACATAATATATTAAACAGGATTACGTAATTTAAATCCATGAGCCCGCTACAATTTCGCAATAACACATTCATTTCTAAGGCAACGGAATAACGTATATTTTATGGTAATCCTTTCGTATTATTACCTGAAAGCGTATCCTTCGATTTTTGGTGGTTTCGATTCGGACCACATTAATCTCTGGCTCTCCCGTTTCGACATTGTTTATCGAAGTAACAAGCCGTCGAATCTCGCAATCGGATGCTGGAAGAAGACTGATACTCTCTCCGGTCTCTTCGTCGACGAAGGTTCGGTCCATTTCCACGTCAATGTTGGATATGAAAAAATGCACGTAGAAACGTAGACGACGTAGTCCCGTATTTAGTGACGAGAACAGAGTTTAATGTATTCAGACGTATCGTCGGGTCTTCGGGGTCACTTCCCGGATACTGAGACTCTACACGGTTTTTTATTTCAATGATTAAATACCTTGGTGAAAACAATTTTCTGAAACAAATTAAACGATCTTCTATTATAAAATTTTTGTCGTAACTTGTATCAAGTACTACGAATACAACTGATTCATTTTATTTTCATTCCGATTTAGTTACGATCGATTAATAACTTTAACGGGTGAAGAAGTAAAATAGGTGAACGTTAATCTTTATCAAAGGAACGAGTAAAAAATTCAGTGAAACGACTGAAATATTGTACAGTGAAAAAAATGTACATACATATATCGTTTAAAGTATTGAACGTATGTTTCGATCTACATTCATATATAAGTGTACCATAAACTGAATAGATTCCGTCCTATTAACATGTATTGATACGTACTCATCCTTCATCACACTTGGAATCATTTACAATGTTCAAATCAACTATTATCGATTGATTGATATGTAACTGGCAAGAATTTGAAAAAAAATGACGCAATACTACCAGTTACTGAACCACTTCATTTTTAAAATTTTTAAGGTTTATTAAACTTTAAATTATTACTATATATATACAGTAGCGAATTGTATTCACCAATATAACAAGAAATAGAAAGACAGTAATAAAATAAGAAAACAACTTCGTAGATCATATCAAGTACGTAAAACGTTTATCAGCATTGGCGCCATGTCTGCTACGTCTTTAACAAAAATTCCCTTTGCGATCTAGTAATATTATGGGATTAAAATAATAAAGATAAATTTTTTCTAAAGATACTTTAACAATTTTCTTTCTTATTTTTTATTTTCCAGTTCAAACGATTCAGTAGATTTTACTCTATGCATCTGCACTCTCGATTTCCCGTTGCACGTAATGACTTAATACGAATAAGTGTCGTACAAAAGTCATCGATGTAATAAAGATTAAAAGTGAAAGCACGTCACAGGACGTACGCAAAAATTTCGAATATTACAAATGATCAAACGCTAGGCTAAGCTAGGTAATTAACGAGAAAAAGTTTGAAAGGCAGAATATCGATACGTCTATGTGACCATGTCATGATCATTTTCATACGTAATGGAAATTATCTACTTGTCTAGGACGACCAACCGTTCCAACTGTCGTATTGTCGTCAACGATTCAGAATCAGGTGCATGAAGCGCAATCGTATTTTCTATTCGAGATTCAATCTCGAATTTTTAGGTTAGTTAGTTTAATTTTTTATTCGATTAAAAATGTTCAACTGAAACAATATAAAAGTACTAAACTGTTTGTTTTCCTGAGACTACCACTTGATGCGTAATAAATTAACTTGTAATTTTCCAAAATGCTAACATGAAATCAGAGTTAATAAACATCTGAATTGTAAATATAAAAATTTCAATTTATCATTTTTATATCATGACGCAAAATCGTTGAAACACTTAACATTGAATTTGAAGCATTCAAGACCGCCACGAGCAGTTTAGGTATTTCGCGACTTCAGGTTTTCGTCAAGGACTAATCCTTAAATGTGATGTAATGCAATCGCGAGTAGAGATTACATGTCGCTTTAAAGGTAGAACTTTAATTGGTTGTACAAAGGAGGTTTTTCGTGAGACTTGCATCTAATCCTTAATTTCGCTTAATGGTAAAACCGCAAATTCCGTAATTAACTCGTAACCAGCAACGTAATTGCTTGCCTCTTCGTGGAAAGAAGATACAACTTTTCCAAGTTATTAAGTTTATCGTTCGATCAAAATCTTCTTTATTTGAGAATGGAAAAGAACAAGATTTAAAGGCAGCGCAAGTAGCTGTTGGTAACATTGTAAAGATAGCACGTGATCGTTTCAATATACCATCGTAATGAAAAATATCGAGCGTTTCTTTTACAGAATATTCCAGGTGCAGTATATGAAATAGACAGATAACTAGCAGTAACAGATTATAATTATATAGAGATTAACACGCTACGTAATCGAAACCTGTAAGTGGCTTCTGCCTGCAGCCTTAACATGGAAAATGCTAAACTTCGTGAAAGGAAAAGGATCATACGATAAAGTGTTGCAGAGAAAAGAAATAATTCTTGCAATTTGCATCCGTTTATTCATGATTGTTATCTACTAATAACTAATAATTATTTTTCAATTACTGTTTTTCAATCCGTGGTTTATACATAAGACGTATGCAATATAGATTTCAACGAAACAGTATCAAGTAAATGTTGTACATGTAATAAAGAAGATATAAAAGTATTCTCCACAATAGAAAGCTAGAAAAGAATTTTAAATGTTTGATTAGATTATAAAATTATAAAGAAAAACCGATTCCACTAATAGAAATATATCAACAATTGTATGATATTATCGACGATACATCCTATATTAACCTGAGAATTAATCTTGCAGTATTTATTTAAAAAAAGGCAAATTTATCCTTGCAAGCGCAATGTTCATTTCACTACTGCGTTCGTAAAATCTAACTTGAAAAATGAATTTAATTTCACTTTTTAAACTAATAATCATACATTTAAAACGTATTTTACATAAATAATAATGCCGTAGAATAGTTACTTTCCAATCGTTAATTTTAATTTAGAGTTAAATATTCATATTATTTAACAGTGTGTTAAGAGGAGAAACAGTAACTTGCATGAAAGAGTAAAACTCGGTACGTACACTTACGGATGGATACTATAATGATCGTAAATAAAAACGTAATATGTAGATGATTAACTTGCCGTTGTACGAAGATCTAGGTTACACACGAGAAACGTCACGTTTCAACATTACACTAATTTACACTTCGGTGAAGTACAAGGTTGCAAATTACGTAGAAAGCAGTGTACCGGCAATAAAATATAACATATTGCAACGTTAAGACGATGAACGCGCGTAGTACTCCTCACGCATCCGTAGTTCAACTGAAGGTGTTCGCCATGATAACCAGTAACTATACGAATCATAGATGGTTATGCTTGCCAATCACAGAGGTCATCAATATAATGATAACAGGAGTATATATATTTTAATATCAGTACCCCGAGGTCTTTCACATAATGATCAAAACAATGTTTTTCGTGTTTTATTTTTATTAATTAGCGATATTTTATCCGGTATATGCGAAAAATTAATGGAGGTTCACAGTGGCGTAGTAAAAAAGGAGTCAGAACCCCGCATAATACATTTATACTACGGAATCTCTTTGTTACGCTACTGAATGTTTTCAAACACATTCCAAGTATTAAAATAAATGTTTGAAAAAGATTTAATTTTTTTACCGACCACCAAACTAAGGTAGCAGTACGTTCCAGAAATACGTAATATATGTTATAAACAAAATGTGTGGTTTAAAAAGAAGAAAAAACCTAATATTTAACATTTGTAGGTATGTATATAAAAATCTGAAACAGAATGAGACGAGATATAAAACTAATTTAATCAAAAGGATAACGAATCCGTAATAATTATTTAAAAAGTAATGAATCGATACATGCTTCATCTTTGTTAATAAGGAGAAATATAAAATTTTATACATCCACGTCTTATTCAACATTGTAAGATATATAAATTAATTTATCAATAAAATTTTGCAAAAGTGTAACAAGGAGTCGTATTATGAATATAGGAACCTCGTAATTCTCCCTTCTTGAGTTTTCTTTGTTTAATCGATACGCGATTTGTTCGAAAATAACGAGAAGTCGAACGATTATTCGTTGTCGCGATAGAAATCTGATTTTCGTTGGTGATTTGAAAAATGGATAAGATCAGTAAATATTCATTGAAATCCGAGAAACATAAAGCAAGTGACGAAAGTATCGATGGAATTCCCAAGTCGAAAAAATCAGGAAAAAGTTTAGAATCGTTTACTGCGCTCGATTCTTCTCCAAATAAATAATATTTTGTAAAAATTTCTTATTCTTAATAATACTATTTATGTTACGAAATTTTGATACAGGGGTAAAGATGAGATACCATTTTTTGTACCACACAAAAAGTTACTCGAAAAAATCGAGTACAAACCGGAAGTTCGAGAGCCGTTGGTGAGAATATGTTCAAATATTTCTTAACTTAATCTTTCTTTAAATAAAATATAAGAAAAATATCTTCGTAGACCGGGTTTGGTGCTCAACAGGAAAAAATTAGGAAACAGGTGTGCAAGCCAAGAATTTCGTTAACGAAAGAGGAAGAAGGAAAAGTGTTAAAAAAGGATCTCGGTGTGTTGTATTATTTTTCATTTTGTTTTTCTTAATTTTACGTCCACCAAACTTACTTATTATTTTCTATTCCACGGTTAACAGGTATCGAATCGAAAGAGAAGGTTCCTTGGGATTTCCGGAAGTATCAAAAAAGTCAAGATTTCGATGCGCCTCTGTTAGCTGATCAATTGGAGCTAATTCGGCAATTACGAGAAGATCCTACGATAGGATTTTTTTACATCGTTTACGCAGTAGAACGATCTTCGAAATATTTCACTCCTTACGCTTTGAAGTGAATAACTGACTGGGTTTTTTCTTTGTCTCGAGAAGTTTAAAAAAGACACGAGTAATTTACGATGATATTTTTTTTTAGAGTTGTTCAGTACAAGGATGTAGGAGAAACTTACATGACTATCAGTGCCAGTGGTGTAACCCAGTACAGTCCAGATGAAATGAGTTTCACTCCTATCGAACAATGGGAAAGAGAATACAAGTTTTACTTAAAATTATTAAAAGTATACGATTAGATTATTTGTTTTATACATTTTATTTGTTTCTCTTTCTCATGTTTTAATTATCTTAGATAAGAACGTTCGTTGTATTTCGGAGCTGGAAAAGTTTCTACGTTTGGAAGAAATCAGTTACTTATAAAAAATTCATCAAGGCGAAGAATTATTTGCAGGAGAATTTGTTTATATCGGACGCAATACTCAGCAAAGCATTGTTAGAAATTAAATCAATGTGCTCGATCTTCCTTGATTCGAGTTTCTTCACTAGCAGTGTTCTCGAGAAGTTGTTACTTTTTTATTTTGTTGAAAAACAGGTAAATTTATGTGATATTATAATATTTATCTACGCGATAAATATTACGTATTCTTCGATGTATTTACTTACAGTTCACAAAACTGGAATCAGTCAGAAATAAGTTAGACGAGTTTAGAAGATTAGCTGTAAATATTGTTAACAATGCCTGTCTCGGCGCTTTATTAAGGGCTGGATATACACCTGACGATTCTAATATAACAGTAGAACAAACTGCATATGGAAAACTTGGTAGTGTGCAAAAAACTTGGTACTACTTTAGAAAGAAACACATCGATATTTTTCTTCTTCTTTTTCTCTTCACCGCTGAAAATCTTTATTTCATAAATTTGTCTTATTATTACAGGCGAGTTTGGCGCTGTGAAATTTAAAATGCCAAAAGATGGTATTCTTAAAATGAGTTACATCGAGCAAGCACGAAAACGAGAAAAATGTTACAGACTCTCTTGGTAAGCCGTTGTTTCA